TGGTTAGCACAGACGGGTCTGTGGTTAGCACAGACAGCTGAGGTAAACAAGCGGCGGAGGCTAACCTGAAACTTCTGTGTCTTAGTTACTGGTTACTGCTTACTCAGAGAAACAGACAAAAGAAAGTCCCGTTCCTCCGCACTTCCCGGTTCAATCGAACTATGGTCACGCCACGTTCAAATGTGTGATCCATATCGTGAGACGTGAGCTCCGTAAACACAGGCTGAGGGTGAGGGGAGGGCAAGCAGAAAGAGTGATGACAGCGCTCACATTCAAACATTTCACAAAGTGAGTTAGTGCAGCTTTATTGTGGGTGAAGTGTCTTGCCACAGTTTGGCACTTTACAGCCGAAGCCGCCCCACTGTGGCACCTGGAGTTCCCCAAGGTCTCCCATCACAGTACTAACCAGGCCCTGCCCTGCTTAGCTTCAGAGGACTGATGGGATCACATGCAACTTTGGCCCATTTTTTTCTTCATATTTGTCCTTATCGTAAAGAGATTGTAAACTTGCTTATGCTAATATTAAGAGATTGTATTATTATTATAGCGTTAGGTGTTATTTAACATGGCAGGCAAATGCTAAAGCTCCATCTCCTGTGGTGGATTAATCGTTGCCCAAAACAGGTTGGAACATGTTTTGTTTTCACTTTCTTGCCAATGCGATCGCTGTGTTCTTGATTTTCCTCACATTTTGCGTGTGGGTAAGTGTTAGATGGACTGTGGAAGCAGAACTGTGGCCATATTCTCATCTTTGTGCCCGGGGCTAGCTTTGGCAGCATAAGAGGATTACCACCACCAAGTGTGACCACAGACTGAATGAATCTAATTAGCAGCAGAAGTAGAAGGAAAAGGAAGTAGGAGGCTTTCAGAGACCACAGCAGAAGGTTCATGAATAATGTGGCTGTTTACGAGGGACATGACACTGGATCTTGCTCTTGGCTTTTAAATGTGTGTGTCCAGGTGAGCTCGAAAGTTTACACACCCTGTTGGAGACTGGGATTATAACACACACTGTTTTTGGTGGTTGTATGAAGCCATATATTTGAGATTTTGAAATATAATAATAATAATGCATTGGTTTTATATAGTGTTTGGACACTCAAAGACGTTCCTCATGTCATTATTCATTCACTCCAAACACAGTGGTGCTAAACTGCCGCAGTAGCCACAGCTGCCTCGGGGCACACTGACAGAAGCGAGGCAACCAGTCTGTGCCAACGGCCCTCCGTCCACCACCAACCATTCACACACACAGCAGACTCATTCTAAGAGTTTTTAGTGGTTGTATAAAGCCATATATTTTAGATTCAGAATATATAATAGTTTTTACTGATTGTATGATACCATATTTTTGAAATTTGCAATTATAAGGATTTTTAGTGGTTGTATAAATCCAGCCAAAAGCACAGGCCACTGCAGACATCTTGAGACCCGACACAGAGGTCACAATGATACAGTAGATCCTATAGCACCCCAGTGCACTGTAATTAAAAGGTAAGAAAAAAATATACATGTACATAAAAGTAGTAGAATGGCCCTTTAATGATGAAGGATAAATTATTCAGAGGAAGAGGCTAACGCAGCAGCACAAGGCAACAGAAGCCCAAAGTGCTGTGTTAAGCAAATTACGTTTTTCTGACTATGAACATCTTCAAAGCATTAGAGGGACTCGTCTATTTACAGTCCCTTTTTCTTAAATTATAAAAGTTACTACGCTTTTTTCTCTCTTCTTTGTGTGCTCCTCTGTCCATGATGATTGCATATGGTTGTTTTAAAAGTGGATGTGTTCTGTTTTTTATTGTTGCCATACAGATTAGTTCCAGTTACTATAAAGGTCGTTCGGCTTGTAATTCTTTATGTTTATCCCTCACAAAGCCTAGACTGTGGAGAAGTAATGATAACTATAACAACTACAAATTATTTATAAAAGTTGTTTAACACTTTTATGTTTCTTATACAAGCAGAATATCCACTGAGCTCTTATATACATGGCTGCCGGTCCAGACAGGTTTTTTGCAAGGAGTATACAAGCTTATTCAAAAGACTAGCACCCAGGTCTGAACCAGGTCTGAAGCAGTCTGAACCAGTCTGAACTCAATTGTAGACAAGGAATCCGCTTTTTACTATGCTTTGTGAACCAGTTGTGCTTGGTTACCCGGGATACGGGCTCCTGTGGTCCGCTCCCCTCAGCTTCTTCACACAACATCTCACTGCTCCTCCTCAGACGTGATTGTAGGTGATAGTCATCGGGAGGCAGGAAGGTTAGGCCGATAATCTGCTGGTTTTTTCTTGCCTCAGATAAGATTGCAACCTTCCGCCGTCACCACTACCAGGGTCCCCGGGGGGTTTCAGCATCCAGCGAAGAGGGGAATGGAGCGAGATGCCAACTGGACCGAATACAAGGGAACAGCATATGTGTATGATTGGGATTGCCACCACTGTCACCAATTCAAAATCAGATTCTTTACTAAATTAGACCTCCATAGTCCAGAGTAAGATATGACTTCAGATTCAGATATACAGTATATTGATATTCACCATCAGACTATGTTATTACCTTTTACCATGTTTGCACACTTCCTGTCTTTTTGCACACACACATGTACATTTCTCCGTTGTGAGTTAAATAAAGTTAATCAGTTTATCTTATTCCTTCTATACTGGTTGCCTCGCTTCTGCCAGTGTGCCTCAGGGCAGCTCTGGCTACAGTAATAGTTTATCACCACCGTATATGGAGAGAACGTCCATCTACAAACTTTTTCTCAGTGTGTGACACAGTTACTTCGTTCATCATTCAAACATGAACGAAGGATTTGAAGCTGATTGTGTGGAGAATCCAAAACAAATACACAGCGGTAAAAGTCTGGTTTTGATGAGACGGTTCTCGACGCCAAACGTGTGATCGCGACTGAACGACAAACAAACGCAATGTTCTGAAAAAGAGTACAATGTGCCAGATCTGACAAACCAATGTATGTCAACGGCGTATTGGAACGCTCGAGCCATGGCCACGGATGGAAGAGGAAGCAGAAGTGTTGCTAACAAAGGGCATTGAAAGGAAGTGCGAGAAATCAAACGTGTGAAGGAATCGGAGTGAAGAGAAGTGCCGTCGCTTTTTTAGTACACACATGAAAATACAGGAGAGAATACTGCAGGACGTGAATACATGTTTTTATTCTGGGCTCGGTGGTGGGATGTTTAAATCTATCCGCTGTAAAGGATTGACTTCTGCTGTCCGCTGATTACGAAGATTAAGGCTGGCTGCCGTTTTGATGATTTCACTGATTTCTCAAGACCCACAGAATATTATGCTCCAAAATACCTTTAAAAAGTGTCTTTGGAGCAAACACAGCTGTTCACAGGGACACTGAGGTGGGTCCCACACTATAAATGAGGTATTATGTAAATTATAACAAAGTATGTCTGATGTAAATATAATGTTTATATTATTGTAAGGTTACTGTGTTATATTGTATTTCTTGTGTTTTTCATGTAAATAGGGACTGCAGATGGAAAATAGCTAAGTAGCTTTAAACTGGTGCGGAATATATCTGCCTATGAGCTTAATGTCACAGTGGCTGAGTGGTTAGCTATCTTGCATTCTCAGTAAGAAGGTCCTGGGTTCGAATCCCGGTTGGAGTAGGGCCTTTCTGAGTAAAAACACGTACAGTAGTAGGTGAGAGAGTGAATGGATGGTGTTTGATCGGAGGCTTTGATGGTCCAGTGTGTTCGGCGTCTCGCTTCCGTCATCACCGTGTGGAGACAATGAAGTCATATCTGAGCATTGTAAAGTGCTTTGGCTGACCTTGGTCTGTATGAATGCGCTGAATAAATAAAGATTACTTTCTTACTTACTAATGTTACGGAGCACTGTGCCTTTAAAACAAACACTGAAGAAACCACAGTTGCTTCTGGTGTTATGAAAGATCCATACCAGGACTAATTGGACACACACAATTACATCCAGTTAGAGTTGGCTTTTTTTATTTTTATTAGACCATACTGGTAAGGTTGATTACTGCTTTTATAGGAACAAGTATTTTTTTTTTTTTTTTTTACCTCTGACGGTTTAGACAGTAAGTAAGCAACTAGTGCAAAATCTTACAAGAATCACTACAAACTGATTGGGCGAAGTGACGCAGTTGCCCGCCTACCACAGTTTGACTTAAGCCAACCACGGTCACAAATTAAAAAAGCTATACCCGATAAAAATGCTTATTACTACATACAAGTTGTATTATAATCCGTAATTGAATGTAAAACTTGAGCTCATTGATTCAACTGTGGATGAATTCAGGCGTAAAAAGTGCTGAGTAGAGACTCCGCGGTGTGGAGCTGGGCACCTGGAGTCGGCGAAGGAGGCGCAGACACCGGGGAAGGCGAGGCGGTCTGCTCGTTCGTAGCCGCTCCTCCAGGACCCCTTTGCCCTCCATCTACCTGGCCAACGTCCAGTCTCTGCCCAACAAGACGGACGAGCTCCTGTGTCGGGTCCAGAGCCAACGCGAGGCCCGGGACTGTGTTCTGTCTCAGCGAGACGTGGCTCCACTCGAACGTCCCGGACTCTGTTGTTCAGCCCCCGGGATTCACCGCTCACCGCTCGGACAGAGTGAAGGAGACCACGGGCAAGGCCAGAGGCGGAGGTCTGTGCTTTTTAATTAATCAGCGCTGGTGCACGGACACTCGAGTCGTGAACCAAACATGTACTGCCAATCTGGAATGCCTGGTCTTGAGCTGCCGCCCTTTTTATCTTCCCCGTGAGTTTTCAGTGATATTTGTATGTGCTGTTTACATTCACCCACGTGCGGATTACAAAGTAGCCCTACAGGATCTGAGCGAGATCCTTCACAAACATGAGTCTGCTCATCCTAACGCAGTCATCATTGTTGCTGGGATTTCAATAAATGTAATTTAAAGACTGTACTCCCGAACTTTTACCAACATGTGACTCGAGCTACAAGAGGAGCACATGTTCTGGATCACTGCTACAGTAACGTGAAGGGAGCTTACAGGTCCAGTCTCAGACCTCCTTTTGGAAAGTCTGACCACTCCTCTGTTCTCCTTCTTCCTTCGTATACTCAGAGGAGCAGGGAACATAAACCAACCTCTCGCACTGTACAGTGTTGGTCTGAGGAGGCTAGCATGAAGCTACAAGGTTGTTTTGATGCTACGGACCGGTCTGTGTTTCAGTCAGAGGACGTCAATGAATTCTGTGACGTTGTGTCTGGATACATACGCTTCTGTATTGACTGCTGTGTCCCACAGAAGGTCATTAAAGAACATTTTAGTCAAAACCCTTGGATGAACGGGGAAGTTAAACTGAAACTTCATGAGCGTGCGTTGGCGTTTCAATCAAATGATACAGTTGCTTATAAGCTATCCTGTTACTCATTGAAACGCTCTATTAAATCTGCAAAGCGCAGTTACGGGGACAGGTTAAAGAGTTATTTTGAGGAAGATGACCCTCGGCGCATGTGGAACGGTATTAAAGCCATCACATCGTGGAAACCTAGTGCTGGGAAAATTGCATCTGTCGACCAAGCTCTGCCAAACGAGCTGAACACGTTCTACTGTCGCTTTGAATCCGCTGATGCCTGTCCTACTGTATTCCCTGAGTGTTTCAATCAAGGTACCTTCACCGTGACTCAGGAGGAAGTCAGGCGTGTCTTGTCCAGGACCACAGTCCGAAAGCCCCAGGCCCGGACGGCATCCCTCCTCGTGTCCTGAAACTGTGCTCGGAGCAACTTGCCCCTGTGCTAACAGACATTTTCAACCTGTCGCTAAGGAACTGTACTGTGCCGAACTGCTTTAAAGAGTCGACCATCATTCCAGTTCCTAAGAAAACTCCTGTGACATGCCTGAATGACTATCGTCCTGTGGCCCTCACGTCTGTTCTTATGAAAACTTTTGAGCGGCTTGTGCTGGACTTCATTAAGAGCCAGAACCCTGTGAGTGTTGACCCACTCCAGTTTGCTACAGACAGAACAGGAGTGTGGAGGATGCATCTCCTTTGCTCTGAACTCTGTCTACACTCACTTGGACACTAGTAAATCTGTGGCCAGAATGCTTTTCATCGATTATAGCTCTGCTTTTAACTGCCTTGTCCCAGGTAAACTGATTGAAAAGCTCATGTCTCTCGGTTTAAGTGTTGCCATGTGTAAATGGATTTTTAGCTTTTTAACTGACAGATCTCAGAGAGTGAAAATCAATGAGTGTTTTTCTGATGTTGTTTCTGTGAGCACTGGTTTCTCCTCAGGGATGTATTTTGAGTCCTTTGCTTTTTACTTTGTACACTCACGATTGTGTGTCCTCCTCTGACTCAAACTTGATCATCAAATATGCTGATGACACCACCATCATCGGTCTCATCAGTGACACTGATGAATCCTCTTATAGAGCAGAGCTCGGACTCTCGGACTATCTACGCTCGGACTGTCTACGCTCGGACTCTCGGACTATCTACGCTCGGACTCTCGGACTATCTACGCTCGGACTATCTACGCTCGGACTATCTACGCTCGGACTGTCTACGCTCGGACTACATTTGGACGTGAAACTAGCGGTAATCTTTCAGTTATGTATGTTGTTTGCAGTGCGTTGCTTTTGTACCATTTCATCAGTGATTGTTGTACAGCTTAAGTTTTGCTAATGCTAATGTTAGCATATGTATTAGATGGTAAATAAAACTAGAGGGCTCCGAGGGATGAGAGCGTAGGGGACATGAGAAGCCTGTGAGTGAGTTGGGGGCGGGGCTAAACATTTAAACCTTGCAGAAACAGGTATAGCTCCTTTAATGTCGTCATCGGCATGTGCCCGGAGAAACCACAACAAGACACACTGGACTAAACTAGTTTGTTTGGATTATGACTGCCTTGTCATCATGTCTTTGAAGGACTTTTGCCGCTTTTGTCTTTTCAAGACTAGCCCATGATTGGGTAGAACACAGAGATGTTCTACCCAGATATATTCTCATGTGTTTGTCAGAAATACCACGAGACTTCATCTTGCAGACAAGATTAATGATCCACAGAGAAAGCAAATAAAACACGGTTTAAAAGTAACAAAATCAAAGGTTTAGCTTCAGTTGTTGAGAGGAACCAGCTCTGACTGAACTGAAACCGGACGCTACACACACCATGCTGGATGTGGAGATGGTAATTGTCCAGTTCTACCTCCAGAGGGGAGTGTTGCACATTCTCGTCATCTCTTTCTCCATTCTCCACCTGTATTTGT